AAAATTAACTGCCAGTTAACTGCCAATAAGTGAGGATCATAGGAATACCAGAGATCCTTATGGGGGATCAGGTAAATTAAATACATGACTAAAAACCCCACCCCTCCCCTCCCCTCCCCTCCCAGGCAATAAATAACGACTGGTCCTTAGCATAATTATTTTCAAAAGAGTTGTAAACTGTTGTACGAGTATATTTTCAGAAACCCGTTGGTCGCGTTTCTTGGAAGAAAGAAAGCCGTTAGCCGAAAGACTACTGAAGGTTCTCATTAAAGATAAAATAAAAAAATGCTTTCATTTAGATCTCACTATATCTTTACTCAGTTCCGAATCCTACACTCGATTGACCACAATCTTGACAGTAAGTTTGTTTCGATGAAAATTTTTACCCACAAATAACATTTCACTGATAAATAACTTTAAAAGCTTAATTGTTAATTAGGTATCAGACAACTGTATCAAGCTGGTTCTCGTTACTCTAAAGGTAAACATGTAGGTTCCTTCTTGTTAAATTTCTCGTAAATGTTTGTGCTAAGCTTGTAATAAAACCAGGGCAAAACTTCTTAGGTCATCTTTGCAGATCAGTCCTTCTACGGTGTTGTAGTTAACACGCCAATATACAAAAAAAAATTATTGTGGAACTTGGAATTCTAATGCAACCTCGATCTACGGTTTCTTCACACTTACTAAGGGCCAGCAATTATCTAGTTAATAAATCCAGTTTAAGCTTTTCCTCTACGCTTTTTATCTTTAGTTGTATGCATTGTAAGGCATTGAAGGATTCCAGCCGTACTTTTCCATCATCTGATCCTCCAGTTTTCTCAATTCCATCAGCGAGTTGTGCTTGGATGTGAAAATACTGTGCACAGACACACCAAATAAGGCTACTGCTGTAGCCAGGAACGCCAACACTAGAGCTTCGCCAAAAACCATGATTGCGCACCTGAACGAAAATATAACAAATACATATTCATACATGCTTTTTCCTAGGTCATCCATTGATTAAAACTCATCTTACCGCGATGCAAGCGTGAAGCGTTCAAGTCTCGCGTGGGTAGAGCTCGTGAAAAATTAAGACGTGCGTGTGGAGACGAAATAGACCAGTACGTGGTTTTTTTCACGAGATTGTCTATATCACCATAAATAGTTTCGTGTAAATTTCAGTCTGTCTAAATTTGCATCTTTTCAAGTCCATTCCCCTGGGTGGACGCTTCGCATGTCTGAGTTTCAATTTTGGAGTTTTCAGTTTCGACTAGTAAGTGAGCTTTTCGATTGTGCGTTGTAAAGCCAAAACCAAAATAATCACGAAGGTCAGTCAGAAGAAACGAAATACCATTAAGAGCCAATGAAACCTTAAAAGAAAACCAACCAAGCTGCCTAAGGCGCGGGAAAACTCAGACGACCAGTTTGTGATGGTTTTTAGTTTTGCAACTAATTAGCTGAGATGGTGGTGCGAGTTTTCTGGACCAATCACGAAGTGAAGTTCAAGTTGGTGAATGAAACTTTGAACTTAAACTTGATGTAAAGGAAAAACAGAGCAATCATTGATTACTGTCGACAAACAATTAAAAATTGCTCTATTCATTCTATTCGCTTTTGTGCATTTTCTTTATTCATTTACTGTCCGCAATAAATTACTGAAGAAAGAAGACACTCGTACAATGTACGCAAGCTATTGTTTGTGCTCATCAACCCTTGATTACACCCAAGAAAACGCCCCCGAATCACCTTTTTCGCGAGCTTTACTTCTTCTAGAAGGAAAACAGACAATTGGATGCCAGTGATCCCTCAGAATATCTACTTAAACATTAAGTTTGTTTTGTTGTTTTTTTAAGTTCGCTGGCATTAATCTGCATAAATCACAGCCATACTTTGAAAAAAAAACAAAAAAAAAAGACAATCGTCTGTCGCTAATTTGTTCTTAACCCGTCGAGGTTTGTCTGGCCAAGTCTAGCCGTTATAATGCTACGAAAAATGGATCAAAGTGGTACGATGTATTTGGTCCTTTTCTCAAGTAAGCGTATCTGGATCAATATCAGTATCTATATCTTTACGACCAGTTTTTGTAAGTTCGGATTGATCTTATTTCGTTTTTCATTTGAAGACCGAAGAAAGATGACGTATTTACAAATATACAGCGCGGCTGCTAATCCATAGACAATCAAGACACTTATTGGCAAAAGCTTTTAGCTTCGTCTATTGTCAACCTTAAGGCGCTGAAAGGAAAATATTTGCTTCAGCCGAGAAAAACAGTGTTTATTTTTTTCTTTGCATATTTTCGACGGGGTTTATTTGAGGTCTGCACGGAATAAAAGTGAGATCAGAGTGTTCGTTTTTGCGGTTTACTAATGGTGGAAATTTAAAGGTCTTCTTTACCATCTGTTTCTATTTTATAGACAAGTCGGTGGCACATTTTTCATTTCTCCAAGTTTTTTTTTTTAGTCATAAAAGGACGGAAGAAAGAACGAGAATTTCCGATACCCGTTTCAGCGAGACTTTTTTTGCATGTAGCAAAATACAGGTAGTGCAAAATCTTCAGATTTCGTTTTCGTCTGGAGAGAGCCCTCCAATTTAATTTATCTAAAC